TTATGAAACTAAGTATGAAGAGCTTTGCTCTTTTGTCAACATTAAAAAATTTTGATAAAGAAGCATTAAAAGTAATTGGACAGTATCTAGAACTTAAATGGGAGTCTTCCAATGTCAAATGGTGAAAGTGTTCTCTCTATATGAGCTAGGATTTCCAGGCCAACAGATGTTATAATTTTAGGAATGAAAACTATAAATTCTTCATGTGATTACAAACTATGATAAATAGAGCCACTCCTGTTTCCATGCCTTGGTTTTCAGACCCCTGTATTCTATTTACTGAGAATATACTACTGTATAATGCTTGATAATTTAAGGTGAGTAACACATTATGGGTAGGTAACTATTCTTGTAGGAAAAGTAGAGTGGATTAATAGGTTCTTTTCTAAATTAACATCAACTGCCAGGGATTCTTACTGGTAAAGGGGGCATGGCAGAAGGCATATCTGGCAATAGTCAGATGGGTAACAATGTCTGGGTTTCAGACAAGGGCCACCTAGGATATATTAGAAATCTAATTCATGAATTAAAAAATAGAGGTAATGTAGATAAAGTTTCAGGGTTCCAAATCAAAATGAGTTCAGGGTAGAGTTTACTCTCATGAGAGTTCTATATTATGACAAAGAAGTGGGTCTAAAGCATTAGGATTGAGAAATTGAAGGAAAAATTATTATCAAGTTACTAAAGAACTTGGACATAGAACAATAGATTACTTGAGATTTCCTTTATTGAAAAGGCAGAGGCAGAGCCCAGCTGGCATGGCCCAGTGGTTGAATGTTAACCTATGAACCTGGAAGTTGCCTTGTAGTTTGATTCCCAGTCAATGTTCATGCCCGGGTTGTGGACTAGATCTCCAGTGGGGGTTGTGTGGGATGGTTCTCTCTCATCACTGATGTTTATATCTCTCTCTCCCTCTCCCTTCCTCACTGAAATCAATAAAAATATATTAAAGAAAATGTGGGGGAGATAAGAGGTCAACCAAAGGACTTGTATATATAAGCATAACCAACGAACGCAAAACACTGGGTGGAGAGGGAGTGGGGTGGGGGGGCACTGGTAAGATATGTACACATATAATACCTTAATTAAAAAATGGGGAAAAAATAAAGGAAATCATCTTCAGTCTTTCTGTTAATTATGCTAATTAAGGTAGAGATAGGGATGAAATGGTGCTTTAATATACTACTACTACCTATATAAATATATATTTAACTCCACTGTAATATGAATACCTTAAAATTATTTTTTATTTTTTAATACATATTTTTATTGATTTCAGAGAGGAAGAGAGAGGGAGAGAGAGATAGAAACATCTATGATGAAAGAGAACAATTGGTCGACTGCCTTCTGCATGCCCCTAACTGGGGATCAATCCCACAACCAAGGCATGGCCCTTGACCGGAATCAAACCCAAGATCCTTCAGTCCCCAGGCTGATGCTCTATCCACTGAGCCAAACTAGGGCTAATATGAATACTTTTATCACTGCATAAAAATATGAATGCATGAATCCAAACCCAGTAAAACATGAAAGTTAACATAATGATTTATCCTTGTCTCAAAATGTACTTCCCTGGCTTGGTCTTCTGAAACTGCATGCTTCACCAGCATAGGCAGATATGTCATGGTGGAGAAGAAAGAGTGGAGTGAAAACAAGTCAGCCAGTACTATCAATAGTTTTTAGCTATATGTTCTGCTGGCTGTTTTCAAGGCATAAGTGGAAATCCCCATAGAGGCAATGTCTTGTCACTTAATAATATAAAAAATATATAGTATATTACAATAGTATTTATAATAATAAAAACACAATATGCTAATTAGACTGGACATACTTCTGAATGACCTTCTGGATGAAGCAGGCAACCAGAGGGAAGCTAGTGCCAGCAGCAGGGGAAGGAAGGCCTACTCTTATAAATTTTGTGCATTGGGCCTCTAGTTGGTAATATAATAGAAAATAACAGTGAGAATAGCTTACATTTATTAAGCACTTACTCTATGTAAGACAGTGTTTTGTGCACTTTACATAAACTCATTTATTTAGTATTTACAACAATTCTAAGATCTGCACTAAGATCTAGTGAGATTAATTAACTTGTCCAGGAATGACAGTGTTCTAAGTGGGAGACCTATTTCCAAAGTCCTTAATCTCAAACGCTATGTTAAAATGCTAAATTCCTTTTATGAGATGGGAGCAGAGCATTCTGCCTTTGAATAAACATGATTAAGTTCCTAAACTGTAATAGTCTGTGAAAGCCTTACTAAGATTATAAAATGAGAAGAAAATAAGATCTGTGACCTATCACTTCATGTGTCTTAGATTTGAAAAAAAAAAAAAAGACAATATCACAAAATTAATAGAACTGAGCAGATGGCTAGCCTAAAATTTTGACTAAGGTGGAAATTACATTAAACATTGCTTTATCAGATTGGAAATTATTCATAATGGTAAGTTGGTACAAATATAAAGATCATTTGTACATAACCCTTTTTAAAAGTTGGCTTAAAAATTTAGATTTAATGAAGTCAGTACAAGTGAATTTCTCAAGAGAATAAAATTATCTGCCTGTAGAATAGTCATTTAGAACCCAAACTCAAAAATTTCTTAATGTAAAATGAGGGAGTTGAATTAGGTTACTGCTAAACTCCTTGCCAGATCAAAACTATGAATCTATATAATAAAAGGCTAATATGCAAATCAATTGAACAGTGGAACTACCAGTCACTATGACATGCACTGACCACCAGGGGGCAGATGCTCAACATAGGAGCTGCCCCCTGGTGGTCAATGTGCTCCCACAGCGGGAGCACCACTCAGCCAGAAGCTGGGCCACGGCTGGTGAGTGCAGCAGTGGATGTGGGAGCCTCTCCCACCTCTGTGGCAGTTGGACATCCCCTGAGGGCTCTTGAACTGAGAGAGGGTGTAGAGACTGAGCAAAAAAGAAAAAAAAATGTTAAAAAACTCATGGATACGGACACCCGTGTGGTGATTGTTGGAGAGCAGGGGTGATGGAAAGAGGTGAGGAGGGTATAGGGGGGATAAATGTTTTTGGAAGGAGACTTGACTTGGGGTAATGAAACTTATATATTTTGTTAACCAGTGTCACCCCAATAAATTCATGAAAAGGAAAAGTAGGTGATACATATAAACAATTGAATATTGCTCAGCCATAAAAATAATAAAATCTAATCACTCAAAACAGTATGAATGGTCCTAGAAGACATTATGCTAAGCAAAATTAGAACAAAATAAGTAAATAAAATAAACAGAAACAGATCCATAGATACAGAGAACAAACCCAGGGTTCCCATATGGGAGGCAGGTGGGGGAGCTGAGTAACAAAATGAAGGGATTAAGGAATACAAATTGGTAGTTACAAAATAGTTACCAGGATGTAAAGTTTAGTATAGGGAAGATTGTAATATTGCAATAACCATGGATGATGCTAGGTGGGCACTTGAAGTATTGGGGGATCACTTTGTAAATTATATAATTATCTAACTGCCATGTTTTATATCTGAGACTAATATAAGACAATATTGAATGTCAATTGTAAATAAAAAAGAAATTCTGTATACAATAAAAATATATTTCAAATATGAAATCATACTTTCAAAATGCAAGAAATCCAGTAGACCTGAAATACCAGAAATGTTCAGGGAAGTCCTTCAGGCAGAAGGAAAATGACAGCAGATGGCCATCTGGATATACACAAAAGAATGAAGAGCTCTAGAAGTGGAAACTGCATAGGTAAACGTATGAGTTATTTTTTGTTTTATCTGAACCTTCTAAAAAATAATCGAAGGTTTAAAGCAAAAATAATAAAAATGTACTGTAAAATTTATAGTATGTATAGAAGTAAAAAATAATTGAACTGTTTAGTGTATCTATGCTAATAAATAGACCAGAAGACATTCTGGGAGAGCTTCCTGATGTCCTTCCAGACAAAGCCATGGTGGCAGGGTTGAGGCAGAGGCGGTTAGGGGTGAGCAGGCTGGCAGATGGGGCAGTTGGGGGCGAGAAGGCTGGCAGGAGGGCAGTTAGGGATGATCAGACTAGAAGGAGGGGCAGTTTGGGGTGATTAGGCTGGTGAGGGGGCAGTTGGGGGCAACCAGGCTGGTGGAGGGGCCAGTTAGGGGCAATCAGACTGGAAGGGGGACAGTTGGGCGCAATCAGGCCGGCATGCAGAGTGGTTAGGGATGATCAGGCAGGCAAGAAGATGAGCGGTTAGGAGTCAACAGTCCCGAATTGTGAGAAGGATGTCCAACTGCCTATGGGATCGGGCCTAAACTGGCAGTTGGACATTTCCCGAGGGGTCCCAGATTGGAGAGGGTGCAGGCCAGGCTGAGGAACACTCCCCATGCACGATTTTTGTGCATGGGGCCACGAGTAATAAATAATGTCAAAAGGGAATAAGAGTCAAATAAGAGTCAAAACTGTGGCATCTTAGGAAATAACATTCAAGTGAAGGTGATGAGTCAAGAAACAGAGTTAGAAATCACACACACAAGGAATTTAGGAGCCATTGAAAATCAGAAAGCAGGAAAATGATATGATTAATCTCTTATGATGTTTGAACATCCTTGAAAATAACTAATAAGAAGCAATCATTCACTGACCCCCCTTGATGGCTGAGTGAATGTCTTCTAAGGTTCATTCTTTCTATTCAGTTGAGCTCATTAATGCTAGAACGTGAGGAACAGAATCACCTATGCTAGGCTAGATGGGCCATGATTTATGTATCTCAGCATTGTCTCAGAAGAACTCAGACTCACAAAATGAAAGTATCCAACCAGAATTTTATTTATAATCACACATCACAACTCCTCTCCCACCTTCACTACACTGGACTTTCCTTATGTATCATTCTGGGAGTAGGGAGGAAGGGTGCAGCCAGACAAGAACGTTTAGAAACAAGCAATTCGTATATGTATATATGTGCTACTGCAAGGGAGTACAAAACCAGGCGCCAGGCACTGGAGGGAACACTGCTCTTTCTGGTCTCATTTGCGCCCTCTGAGCTGCCGGGCATAGCGGTTGTAGGCTGCATTGTATCCGTAAATCATGGCGTAGCGCTCGCAGAGTTTGTGGTCGTCACAGGCTTCCCGGTTGATCTCGTAGGCAGGCTTGGTGCGTTCTCGGACTCTAGGAAGTGGGAAGGGGTAGGAGTAAGGGTGGGAAAGAAGCCCAGATTTAAAAGTATAAAGAGAACAGAGAAATGAGAAAAAGGAAAAAAAGATTATCAGAAAATATTGGAGAGAGATCCCATTTATCACAACCTCGTATCAAGAGACATTTGATGCGGTTGGTGTGGCTCAGTGATTGCACGTTTGGCCCATGAACCAGGAGGTTATGATTGCTGGTCAGGGCACATGCCTGAGTTGCAGGCTTGATCCCCAGTAAGGGGCGTGCAGAAGGCAGCTAATTAATGATTCTCTCCCGTCATTGATGTTTTGATCTTTCTCCACCTTTCCCTTCCTCTCTGAATTAATAAAAACATATATTTTAAAAAAGATATTTGAATAACAGAAAGGAGAGGTGGAACAGGGGGCATTTTTCTTTTAGGGGGAATTTTTTTTTTTAAAGTAAAAACACAGAATTTTTCTTTCTGTCCTCTTTTTTTATCCTCTCTTCCCCTTCTTTCTGAGTCATTCACAAAAGTCTTCTAGAAATTCAGTTGTTTTCTGCATATTGTTTTAAAATTCTTTGATTTAGGGATACAATTAAAAATATCTATTTTGTAAAGAACCTGTTTCTCACTCCATTCTGATCTGGGCTTCTACACTGGAAAAAATGACTTCTCCATTAAGTTTTGTTACCCACCTCTCTTGAGCTTTAGCTCTCCATCTCTGCTGTGAGGATATGAAGGTATTAGCGTATCTCCTGTTAATGAAGGGACCTCAAAACAGAAATAAATAATTGCAGTTTTAGGAAAACAGTAGGTGAAAATATTTCCATGTGTAATTGCTAACACAAATATGTTTGGGAGGTCAATAATTCATGCATTTCATGTAACTAAAGATATGTAACAACCAAGTATATTTTATAAACTGCCTGAATCAAAGAAAGTAACCACCCATACATGTGTCTTGAGACTTGTCACATTGGCCACTGAAATTTTGCTTATTTGTTTTGATCTTGGGCAAGAACTTGTTTTTCTTTAATGTTGATATTCCTATGTAAGTGTGTTTTTAAAATTCCTTTGAGGAGAAATTCTCCCTGTCCTGATAACTTGTAAAGCATGTCTTTAGATTACTAGTAAATGAAAGTTTAAACATGATAGGAATAGTGGACAAATTGAAAATGAGAGTGATATGTTATTTCCTCTTATACTCAGTCTTTATAAGTCTAGAAATTCAATGGTATGTAAGCAATGTTGACATTTGTGGTCTCCCAGCTGACTTGGCCTCCAATTCTGTACTTTGCCATTTGTCATTACTCCTTGTTTTCCATCTTTGTGGTTGACCTGGTGCCAACGTAAAATTTCCAAATGAGGTTTTATGGCTCCTTAGTTGGTTGAATGCAGTTTAAAGGCAATAGTACACTGCTTCAAGCTTTTTAAAAAATTGCTCATTTGGCGATTTTTACAGTGATGGAATTTAAAATGTCACTTCAGTTTTCCAAAGGAGGTCCTCTTTTCCCTCCCTGTGGTACATATTACAATTTTGTGTGACTAGGAACAGGGAGATATTCTAGAATACACGAAGTTTAAGTAAGGAAGTCAAATATTCACTTACTGATTTCATAGGATTCCATGCTTTCATGAGATTCTGGAATTAAAAAAAGAAGATTCATTTTATTATTATTTACCACACATTGAAATAGTCTAAACACAGTGAAGGAAGAAGTAGGTAGAGTCCCAAAGATGTGAGGAATATAGTTAACAGTATGGTTACTACACATTCCAGGCATTTCTGACTTGTGCATTGTTTCTCTAGCTGTGTTCTTGCTGTGCATATATCTACACTTTAGTTTCTCTGATGCTGAAGAAACTGGTGAATACAGTCTTGGCTAAAAATTTCCCCAGGATCTGAGGTTTTCATCCCAGCAAATTAAGACAATTTAAGTGCTTTTCACAAGCTCCAGAGAGCTATCTTCTCTGATTAATCTGGAACGTGAGAGAAAGATTGAAGAGGGGACAGACGGGCTTAGGAGACAGCTAGGTTTCTCCAGGCGGGCTGGGCAGATGCTCTGTGGGGCTCTACCAAGACAGGCTTCTGGGAGGTTCCAAAGGCCTCTTAAGAACCTGTGTTCAATTGGCAGCCACAGAAACCACTGGCTCCAGCTCACAGCTCCCACTGGGCACAATGCCAGTTCTGAGAAAGAACTGAGATGATGTCAAAGCAGAAGCTCTCTTCTTTCTAACACTCTCCCTTTTTCTACCTTCCCAGCAGGGAAATTTGGCAAGAAGAGTCTTAGATGTGCAAGCAAGTGAATCTGCTTGAAAATATCAAAAAGAGGCAGAGAAATCAAATCCTCTGAAAACAGAGACCTTATGAAACATTTCAAGAGTCAGAGGCAAAACAAAAACCTCACACATGGTTATTAATACAATTTAGGTTGAAGAACAGCTCAAATATCCAGATTATTGAAGCATAAGACTGAATAATCTAAATAATTTTGCTTCAGATTTCCTTCCATAAGCTTCGAACAGACAGATATATTTAACAACATGCAGAAACCAGGCAAATTTTATCTTTTGACAATTGAAATGATGAAAACTATTTTTTTCTCTGAGGTCTTTTAAATGTAAAACTTTGTTTTTTAGTGAATTCACCAAACCACATGTAGTATATTCATGAGATTGCTCTGTCCCTTGAGAGGGCTATACCTAACACATCAGGTGAAAATTGATGTTTTTAAAGGTAGGTGGTTCGACCAATATCCTTAACCAATTGTTACCAAAATCTAAAGAAACATCCTTTAAATGAAACTCTAGGACTGTGGATGTATATCTTCTTTTTGAAATAGCCAAGTTTCCACGTGTGCAGTGACTGACCATGAAAGGAATGGCCTGATACATAGCATATCGTTTGGATATTTAGGATATAAAAAAGACTGGATGGAAGAGACATAGAGCTTGGAACTTGGGAAATGCTAAGTTAATGGCACTTGAAGATTAAGACAGAGAAAGGGGCAAGAGGAGGAGGGAGAGGAAAAGTTGAAGTAACCTGAAGTCAGACACAGATAAGAGAACCCAGAGAAACGGCAGGAGAAGGATTTCTCACCATAACACAAAGCTGCCAGGGCCAAGGCGGCCAGAACGGAGAGAAGCAGCAGGCTCTTCATGGTCTCTCCGTGGTCCTGTGGCTGGCCTCACTCACTGTCCTGTGCTGCCCGGTGTGGAAGAGGCTCCTGCAGGCTGCTCCGGACAGGCTGCGTGGGGTTTTTATAAGAACTCCAGCAGCTGTAAGGGGAGGAACCAGTGGGAGGGGGCCAGAGAAGGTGGGGACTGGCTGGCACTAAAGTAGCTCTGGGACTTTTCCCAAATATTCATTCCTTCCAGATAGTATCTTCCCTGGGTGGGCAGTTTTCCCTTGTTCCTGGATGTGACTGTGCTATGGCAGGAGGCTGCGCTGGGACAGAAGCTGTGGCCGCCCTAGGTTTGGGGCCAGATCTGGGCAACGGTCCACAGAGAAGGGAGTTGCCACAAACACGTGTTTGCCTTCCTAATTTCTTCTCTGATCACCCTCCTGGCCCTGACTGTGGGCCTTTCAGGTTTGGTCCCCAAACAGACCCACAGTGTTCTGCTCGTTCCCCTAGTGGGTGGCTGAGTGGTTCTGGGAAGAAAGGACTTCATTTTTATGCCGATTTAATTTAGAGTTGTGATTTTTTATTGATTTTTACAGAGAGAGGCAGGGAGAGGCAGAGAGAGATAGAAACACCAGTGAGTTATATTTCCAGTAAGGCTGAACTATCAGTCTGGACCAAACGATCGTTTGCCTGATGATGCGGACCTTTTGCTTTTTTTCATGTGCTCAGTAGGATAGAGATGTGCAAGTGACCATGTGAGTTCTGTTTCCTCAGTTGACTCCTCTATAACTTGCTCATCCAGTTTTGTGACTTGAGTCTAAACCTGTGCCCGAGTGTCCAATCAGGCTGGATATCGCTGATCTAGAGTGCAGCCAGGGTAAGAGGGTAACCACCTCTCACTTTCTGAAGGCATTGTCCTGACAATTAAATTCAGTATGCTTTTAGTGAATGACGGATGAGATGCAAAGTACTGTGCTAGGGCTTATGGAGAAATCTAGGGACAAACAAGACATGGCCCTAAGGAGGTAAGTAATAGCTACGTACTAGTCACTTTGCTCTATGGCTGTCATGCATCCTCAAACATAGATTTTCACAAACACACATTTCTGCTGTATCTTTAGTAACAGAAGTGCTGTTTCTTTTCTCATAGGAAGAGGATTGTAAATTGGTTTTAAGCAATCCTCTGGACTGAGGCCCCCCCCCCCTCTTTCCTTTCTTCCTTTCTTCCTTTCTTCCTTTCTTCCTTCCTTCCTTCCTTCCTTCCTTCCTTCCTTCCTTCCTTCCTTCCTTCCTTCCTTCCTTCCTTCCTTCCTTTCTTTCTTTCTTTCTTTCTTTCTTTCTTTCTTTCTTTCTTTCTTTCTTTCTTTCTTTCTTTCTTTCTTTCTTTCTTTCTCTTTCTTTCTTTCTTTCTTTCTTTCTTTCTTTCTTTCTTTCTTTCTTTCTTTCTTTCTTTCTTTCTTTCTTTCTTTCTTTCTTTCTTTCTTTCTTTCTTTCTTTCTTTCTTTCTTTCTTTCCCTTCCTTCCTTCCTTCCTTCCTTCCTTCCTTCCTTCCTTCCTTCCTTCCTTCCTTCCTTCCTTTCTTTCTTTCTTTCTTTCTTTCTTTCTTTCTTTCTTTCTTTCTTTCTTTCTTTCTTTCTTTCTTTCTTTCTTTCTTTCTTTCTTTTGTTTTTTCTTTCTTTCTTTCTTCTTGAAAGGTTAGTAAAATTTTTCTATCAGATGTGTCTCCATTGCCTGGGTACCCAAATGTCTTCTTAGCCCACACATAAGCTTGAGATACAGAGAAGCAGATTGTAGAAGAGCTAAAGCTGCAGGACCTCTGACTGGGACTGGAACAGCAAAAGGGCTGGGCTGGGGGTGGGTGGTATATTTTTCAGTGAAGATTTATTTCAAGGAGTAGTAATGAACAACTAGGTGAGACCTCATTCTTGTCCTATTGGGATGGACTTTTCCTGCTAGCCTTCACTCTCTGAAAACTTTTATAGACACTGTTAAAAAAAATAATTCATTTGAAATCTGAAGGTTTAGTGAAGTTGGAAGGACCAATAAAATTCAGGTATTCTTCCCAGATAATTTCATGTTGAGATGTATTCTTTGTGATACAGTCTTCAAGAAGACCTCAAAAGGAAGACAAAGTAAGTTCATTACTGATAAATTCAACTGTCACGACTTCTATTCACAATGCTAGTGGTTGTTCCTTTCTTTAAATCACACAAGTGCTTCTGTGCCCATTTTAAAGACAAATGACCAAATCACTATATCGTCAATAAATAGAGTGCAAGAGTCAGCTTACTACTTTGCATTGTTTTGGGGATACAAGTTAGCCAAGGCTTGTTTATATAGCATTTTATATGCATTCAGTCAGTAATTCCCAATTAACATAATACGAAACAAGTTTAGTTCCAATGTTGCACCCCTAAAATGAGTAGGCCAATAACCACCCCAACCTATCTTTACAATTAAAGGGAATTCCCTTTTCTCCAGGTACAAACACTTTGTAATGTCTATTCTAGCATGATTACAGATGTCTCCTCTACTGCTAAGTTCAAATGAGCTCTCTCAGTCTTTTTACTCTCAGTTTATTTATACTCTGTGAATCCACACTTGGAAGTCTTACACTTCTCTTTCCAACGTAACCTTTGCCTTTTTTATAAGTCATTTTTAGTCACTGCTTCCTAAATTTTTAAGCATTTCTTTGTATCATCTTGTTCTTAGTAGGGCTAACACTTTCTGTTGAAAGGTGTCTCTCACCAGTCACTCTTCTTTTCTTTCCACTGTTTTCCATCTGTTCCTCAGTTCTTCTATGTTAAATCCCAACTTATATCTGATTCATAAAAATTATTGATATACTAGAGGCCCAGTGAACACGAAATTGTGGGCAAGTAGTTCGCTTCTGCTTGCCTCAGTGGGCCACCCCACCCATCGCTGCTTGCAGTTCGTGCCCTGCCTGCCGCGAGAGCCTGTGCTCATTTGGTCATTATGGTGTCATGACTTTATGGCCAAGGGCCTTTTATAATATAGATGTGAGAATCCAGAGCCCTTATTTTTCTCTCCTTCCTTAGTATTCCCCATTTCAAAAACAATTTTGTGAGTGGCAGATCCAGTTATGCCTTTATAAAGAGAGAAAAAATGGAAGTAAAAAAAAGGAGGAGGGGAAGAAATAAGAAGGACCTTGTATATTAGCTTTGCTGGATGAAGAGAATTTGGGTGGAGATTGAGTTGTAGAGAGAAAAACTTTGAGGCAGCTAGCTATAGGATGTGAGACAGATTAAAATTGAGAAATAGGAAAAGACCAATAAAGAGTTGCTTTGATTAGAAGTAGGATTTTTGGAGGTAGTTAGACAGTATTTGAGCATTGACAGGAAATATTGACGTTTTTAATTAATGTTTGCTGCTAGTTTATATTTTCTTTTTAAAAATCATTTAAACATTTTTCAATTATAGTTGACATACATTCATTATATTAGTTTTAGGTGTACATCCCAGTGATTAGACACTACATAACTTACTAAGTGATCATCCAGATTCTGCACCCATATGACACCATATCAATAATATTATAATATTATTGACTATATTCCCAATGCTGTCCTTTATATCCCCATGACTATTTTGTAACAACCAATTTGTACTTCTTAATGCTTCACCTTTTTCACCCATTCCTCCAAAGCCCCTCACATTTGGTCAAAATGTTCTCTGTATCCATTCATCTTTTTCTGTTCTACTTTTTTGTTTATTTTGTTTTTAGAGTCAATTATTAATAGATATGTATTTGTTACCATTTTATGGTTCATATTTTTAATCTTTTTTCTTCTTCTCAGAGAAGACTCTAAATTTCGTATAATACTGATCTGATGCTGATGAACTCCCTTACGTTTTTCTTGTCTAGGAAGATATTTATCAGGCCTTCAATTCTAAATGATAGCTTTGCTGGGTAGAGTAATCTTGGTTGAACATCCTTGATTTTTATCACTTTGAATATTTCTTATCAATCCCTTCTGGCTGCCAAGTTTCTATTGAAAAATCAACTCACTGTCTTATGGGAGCTCCCTTGTAGGTAACTAAATACTTTTTTCTTGCTACTTTTAAGATTCTCTGTCATCAACCTTTTGCATTTTAATTACAATATGTGTTGGTATGTTTTTTTTTTTTTGGATTCATCTTGTTTGGGACTCTCTATGCTTCCTGGATTTGTATGTCTGCTTCCTTCACCAACTTAGGAAACTTTTCTGTCATTTTTTTCAAACAGGTTTTCAATTTTTTGCTCTCTCTCCTTTTATTCCAGAACCCCTATGATGCTAAAGATTTGCTTGAGGTTGTCTCAGGGGTTGCTTATATTATTGTCATATTTTTGGATTTTTTTTCTTTTTGCTGTTTGGATTGGGTTTTTTATTGTTTCCTTATATTACAAACTAGAGGCCTGGTGCACAAAATTCATGCATTGGGGGGGGGTTCCCTCAGCTTAGCTGGAACCCTCTCCAATTGGGGTCATCCCTCTTGGAATCTGGGACCCTGGCTCCTGACTGCTCACCTGCCTGCCTGCCTGATCGCCCCTACTGCTTCTGCCTGTTTGCCTGATTACCCCTAACTACTCTCCCCTTCCATCCTTGTTGCCCCCAACTTCCTTCCCTACCAGTCTAATCTCATCCCCAACTGCCCTCCCCTGATGGCCTGATCTCACCCTCAATGTCCCTTCCCTGTCGGCCTGATCTTGCCCCCAATTGCCCTCTTCTGTTGGCCAATTTGGTTCTGATTGTTTGGTTTCTATGCCAGTCAGCGTCAGAAGCTCTGCCTCTTAGGCAGCCATTGGCTCCCCACAGCACCCAGATTTGCTTCTGATTGGTCAGTTCCTATGCCCAATAACATCAAGAGCCCCACCTCCTGGGCATCCATTGGTTCTTCACACAGCCACATTTGGTTCTGATTGGTTGGTTCCTATGCCAGTCAGCATCTCTGCGTCTATCAACGGGGCCTGACAGAAAGACAGGGCTGATCAGCAGCTCAAGGGGAAGCCTGGAGAGAAATGGAGGTAAGTCTGC